TGCATCTAACAGCATTCGTACGCTGCCCATCTGCAAGTCATGACATCAAAATTTGGGTACCTCGCCGCTCTCCGACCAAGTCGACATTTCCGGGCATGTTGGACAACACAGTGGCAGGAGGACTGATGACGGGGGAAGACCCATTCGAATGTGTCATCCGCGAGGCGGATGAGGAGGCCAACCTTCCGGACCAGCTTGTTCGCAGCCGCACGAAGCACGTGGGCGGCGTCACCTACATCTATATCACCGAAGCAGAAGCAGGGCAGGTGGGTCTCATTTATCCCGAAGTTCAATGGTTATACGATCTCGAACTACCTGAGGATGTTGTGCCGCAGCCAAAGGATGGAGAGGTTGCCGAATTCCACCTGTGCACCGTTGAAGAAGTCCAGCATAGCCTGGCACGGGGAGAATGGAAGCCCAACTGCGCTCTCGTCATGCTCGAATTCTTCATCCGTCACGGCATCCTGACGAAACACAATGAGCCCGATTACGACCATATTCTGCGAAGAATCCACCGAAGACTGCCATTCCCAGGCCCGCACAACCAGGACCCATCCCTAGGGGCTATAGATGGCTGAGCCAGTGTCAGTTCCGAGAAGGTAGATTGTGATGACCTCTCTCGCCAGGGCCAGGTGTCTTCCAAACGACCTCAGCTCACAAACGGTTCCAAAGGCACGTTTCTTGTGGCCTCGTCAAACCCCTCGTATTCGTTCGCGCTATAAGTCAATAGCCTGGTGGACAGCTCGTTGCGATGTAAATAGAATCGTTCATCATTTCTTGATTAACAAGTAGACATAATCGACTCTCAGAGGAGTGAGCTTCTTGTACGGGCCTTCCAGAGACATCAAGAGACCGCCGAACGAGACGTACGCCTTGCTATAAGACACTGTTAGCTTCTTCTGCTAGAGCTTCGCCGGCGTGGTTTAAGATGGCTGCTCACATGGTTTGCCCGTCATCAGCGTCCTCGAACTTGTAGATCTTGCCGTAGCACACATAATCAAACATGTCGGCCAGTGTGGGTTCTCGGTCGTGGTTGCCCTTGGTAACGTCCCTCCAGCCCTTCTCTTCGTCTTTACTACCGTCGTGAGCTAGGGAGGTAGCCAGGACGACATGAAGACTGTCGGAAGTGGAGGCGGGGAAGAGCTCAATATTGATGTCAAGTGTCATGAGAGTCTGATTGTCCGTGGAGGTGGCAGAGATGCGCGCCACTCGATCGTACTTGGACTGATCGTAGTTCGTAACTGTGAAGGACTCCTCAAAGAGGGTCACATCGCCTCCGCCTGACATGGTTGATGGCTGACTGTCTGCGAGAATGTAGAAGTGACTGTAGTTCAAATGAGGCCCAGAAGCTCTGTCAAGGCGGCCGACCTGTATTTGGAAGAGGTAGCACGCAAAAATCGTCGACAAGAACTGCGTCCCACGATAGCTTGGAGGCAGGCACGTTGGAGAAAAAATTACGGACCCCGAAATTCACTTACCCGTGTTAAGATAAGATATGTACCTAGGCACCATACGAATGAAAGGTGGGGGGCAGCAGCCATCGCACCAGGGGTTGGAATTTCGGCTCGCATTCCCTAGCTCGTGCGTGCGTCTGCGACCCGACTAAGACGGCGATTTCACATCATCTGCTTCTGCCCAACATCGGAACAAGTCATTATAGGGCCCCTTAGTCGAATGCGTAAGTTCGCACTCCTCATTGATGTTGATCGCCCCGTCAAATTTGAAGACATTGGACCAGTCACTTACTCGTGGGAGCACGCTCCGCACAAGTCATGTCGTTCCGCAAGAAGAATGTCGTACTTGGCCAACAGGCCCGGGGCACAGTGAGAGAAGCCGGTGTCAAAAAGCAGGAAGTATCGCCTGCAGTGGGAGTTCGCCCATCACCCTTGGACGGGCGCTTCACAACCTCGACGGGCACCGGGTCACTAGATCAACTGCTGGCGGGACACGCCGGGCTGCCTCTTGGGAGCAGCATTTTAGTAGAGGAAGCTGGAACGACGGACTTTGCGGGTGTCCTTCTCAAGTACTATGGCGCAGAAGGCCTCATACAGGGCCATGAGGTTCATGTGCTAGGTCTAACCGAAGCGTGGAAGGGTGAGCTTCCTGGGCTTGGCAAAACAAGCAGCTCGCTTCGCGGCCAGCCAGCTTCGGTTTCGAACGAGAAAATGAAAATCGCCTGGAGATATGAGACTCTGAACGGCAACAAGACAGGCACAGGTACGATGATCATGCGTCATTCGGGTTGTAATCCACTGAGTACGTCAATTGACTGTTAATGAAGATGCAACCCAAGGAAACGCCAACATGACAGACAGCTTTTGCCACCAATTCGACCTTTCGAAACGCTTACAACCCAGCGATATCAAAGGGAGGCTTGACACGACGCTTTGCTGTCCTGCCATGACCTGGTCCCAATCTCCAGGAGGCGCTGACGTTCCGTCGCCCTTGGATACATTCATTGCCAACCTCTCGGCGAAACTGAGGTCTTCAGCGCCGGACGCAATTCATCGAGTCCTAGTCCCAAGCCTATTGTCGCCTGCGATCTATGGCCCGTCTGTGTGCCGACCTCAGGATGCCTTGCAGTTCCTGCACGGGCTGAGAGCTTTACTGCGTCAATACAGTGGAAGTCTAACAGCCGTCATTTCCATATCAACATCACTGTATCCTCGCTCCAGCGGGCTCACTAGATGGATGGAGCTGCTTTGTGACAGCGTTTTAGAACTATTACCGCTGCAGCGCAAGGTGCATATACAGCCGAATATCAAATCGGAAGACGTGGTTCAAGGTATGCTCAAGGTCCACAGCCTTCCCGTTTATCATGAAAGAGGGGGGGGGTTGGAGGGCGGCTCATCACAGGAAAATCTCTCATTCCGGTTGAGTAGCTCGAGCGGCCTGATATTCAAGCCCTATAGCTTGCCACCGATGCTGGATGGAGATGACGACACGGGATCAAACGAGGCGAGGAAGAAAGAGGAGAAGCTCGACTTCTAAAAGACCAATATGTGTATGGAAAATAGGAGCCTCACCGTAAGCAACAGAAATGAGAAACATGAACGAGATAGTGCGAGGCGTGAATGCGTGAAGAGTTACCTTCCATCCCAAAGATACGTACCGATAAGGCATCGAAGACCGTAAGGTACTAAGTGGTCCCTGGTGCCCCACCAAGCACAGCATTGAAATATTCTCTGTCGCTAAAATTTTCTCTCGTTGAGTTTCTTACATTCAACAATGTCCGCTCAGGTAAGATATTCTCTGCCCCTCTTGCAGATTTTCCCCCTCCAGTGATTAAACCAAAAAAAACATCAATCTGTCAATCCACTGATACTCTGTGATGATACCTTTTTTTTTTTCCAAAGCGAATATGATTTTGGGGACGTCAAATGCCGTTCGTGCAGCGTACAATCTAGGTTGAACCGTAGCTGACTCTCACAGGAATCACTCGAAGACGGCATGAATGTGTCGCTTGAACTAGGTCTGGCGCCAGTGCGCATCTCCAAGATTGCCGACCGCTATCTTGTCTTTGATGCTGAAGATGTAGCTTGGATTCGACGAAACCACAGCATTTGCTCAGTGCTGATTGGAACTACACCGCAAAATCCGACACAGAATGTGTTTCTGAGTTTGCCCCTGGAATTACTTCCCGAGGAAGCCAGTATGCTCATCGAGAAGAAGGTAGGCCGCCTGGTCGACGAGACATCCCAACACCTTTCCTGCCTTGGTTCCCCAGACCAAAAGACTCGCCAAGCCTACATCACAATCTTGAAGGACCGCCGGGACCAGGCGCAAAAATTGATAGCCGAGGACCAAGCCAAGAAGTCATCCGTGCAGGCACAAAGGGCTGCAGGCGCTCAGGAGCAAAGTACCCTCACGGTGGGCGAGGCGTCTTCGGAGAATATTCTGCCACAGGACAAGCTGCTGGCGGTCACACCCACAACGAGTGGCGGTCTTCAGAATGCCCAAGATAGGATTCTGACCGTCCCGTCTCCGCCACTCGGCCCTCTCCACCAGTACCTTTTATCAAGAGGCTACTTTATGACACCAGGTCTGCGTTTCGGTGCCGACTACAGCGTGTACCCTGGTGATCCACTACGCTATCACGCTCACTTCCTAGCTACGAATTATGGATGCGATGAGAAAATCCCCATGCTCGACATAGTGGGGAGCGGACGTCTAGGCACCTCGGTCAAGAAAGGTTTCTTATTTGGAGGTGAAGCCGTCGTTCCTGGAGACGCGACTGCGAAGCATGTACGCACGTTCTGCGTCGAATGGGCTGGGATGTGAATTCGATGGATTTGGACGCTGAACCAAAGTGTGGAACGGCGCTGAAGTACGAAGGTAGCGTGTGTTTGTGTACAATACCAGCAAAAGATACCCCCTGATGTCTAATGAAACAACTGAACCCCACCAGCGGCGACGTTGTCCTCGTGTCCACGCACTTCCATCATATGGTCTTGAATCAGGCGCCGCCAAAAAGATCGTCGCACCAAATGCCTAGAGGGCTTCAGGGGACGAAAATCCTGCTGAAACTGATTACTTCCCTGCGACAACAGACGCATTTATCAAAGTTGTTCATGGCCAAGGACACCCGGCAGTCGTCGCAAAGGCTCAGGCAGCGACAAGGCCAGACAATAATTGTCCTTGGAGAGCTCTGGCATACGACGCATTGAGGGCCGTCGGGACCTAGGCCGGCGGCCCCTTCTGCCCAGGTCGACTCGCTGTGAAGAGCTCGGGGAGTGTGAGAACGGCGAGATAGCAGAAGTTGCTCCAGGCGCTGAGCCTCTTCGTCAGGACTCATCTTGCACGACCTAGTTGATTCTTGGCCTGGTCTTCCGACTGGTTGCAGTATCTTCATCCGTTGTAACTGCTGCGACCTTTTGAACTGTGCCCTTGTCATGATCCTATCACTAGCCAAGTGGGCGGCCAGTGTAAACGCCTCATCTCTCTCTTCAGGATTGCTGGGATGCAGTAGACGGGCCAAATCCGATAACTGTAAAGCGTTGTCAGGCGTTGGTGTGGTATCTCTGGTTGTCCAGGATCTCGGTTGCGTCGGTGTTCTCTGCCCGTCATGCTCTGATTCCCAATCACTGTCGTCGTGGGCGCTGAACGAGACGACACTAGTGGCGTCATCATCGGCGGTCTCCTCAGGTTGGTATTCACCACTATTGTCCGTGGTGCCCCAATATCCGCCCTTCAACCACCAGCCATAGAGCCGCGTATCCAGATCTGTCTCGTCGATAAATGCTGAGCTACTGCTTCTCCTCCAGGCCTGCTGTCTGAATTCTGTTTCAACATCGACGGCCTCGTTTATCGGGTTGTCTATGGTGGACTCAATAGATTCGATGGTGTGGTCGACACAGTGTTCACTGCCGTTTCGGTTGACGATGTTGGTGGCAGTTTTGGGCCGGCGTGCTATCCATAAGAGAAACTGTGGCGAACGGACGCCTATCTTGGAGAGAATTTTGATGGCGGCGGTGGCCCAGGTTCGGATTATCAACCTGTTGATATTCATGAGAAAATCCAGCGCCATGAGCCACCTTCCACTTCTTTCCGCAGCGCCAACTCCATCCCTGACCCTACGCTCGCCTGAACGAGCCTTCGGTACCTTCTGTGCGGCTCGCTCGCGAGCATAGCCATTTATGGGCAGCAGGTGGTCATCCTTCACGGGGACCAAGCCAATGGTGCCGATGGTGTCGTACTGCGAGTCAGACGAGCTGGCTCCTATCCACTGCGCTCGCAACTCCTCCAGCTCTCGAAACCTCTCCTCCTCGAGCCAAGTGCGGTGTCTGAGGTTGATGTCTCGGTCCTCATTCAAGTAAACCGCTTCACTGGCCATTGTGATAGCACCAAAGCCGGTTCTCAACAGGGCAGTATAGAAGTCCATATCCATGCCGATACGAATATCAGACAAAGACAAGTTGGCTTGCATGTTCTCATGGGCTTGAGCTAGCCGCTCGCGAAGTGTTAGACGCTGGCCTGTGTACCCCTCCACGGGGGTGAGGGCGGCTAAGCCTAGCGCAAGCAGATAGATGGAAAGGCAGATGAGTATGCCACCGAGGACAAGAACATGAGGGATGAAACCGATGATACAAACTGTGGGAAACCTGAGCAGTCCTTGTTTTGAAGGGTCATCCAAGGAAAATGTGAAAGCGCTATAGAGTATGCTCGCCATGAAACAGAGGCCCCAAAACCCTGTGTTGACAAGGCGAAATTTGGATTGCAGATTGAAGATGCCCAGAACGTGGCTAGTTATGTGGCTCATAGTTGAGAGGAAGGCCACGAGGAGAACTTCAGGCGGAGTGTTGACCCTTCGAAGAATCATGGACCGGCTAATAGCAATACTGCTACTTGGCTCAGACAGCGCCTCAGCGGCCTGTGACTGGGTAAACAAGCCCCAACCGAGCTGATTGCTAATTGCAGCATCAGCCTCGGCGAAGGCGAGTGAATGCTCGAATAGCGTCATACCCGTTTCGGCCGATACCGGACGGCCCTGAACGGCGCATGACACAGTCTCGAGAAATTGACTAAGGCAGAACGTGCCGAATAACGGCCACAGAAGTGACAATGACCCTCGCAAATACTGCGCCGGATCTTCGTCGTTCGCGGGCACCATGCCAACGGCTGTGCATGATTCTTGGTCGGAAGCTCCGAGTAGGAGTGTGGAGCTCATTGTGTGAAGAAAGCCGCCGGTTTGGGAGAACATCAACTCTGAACTCTTGCTAGTATTACCCCAGCGCATCTCGGCAAAGTCAGGGGATGTTTGACATTGTATGGAGCGCAGGAGACCGCGGGCTTGTATGAGGAATAGTAAGACCGGGAGACCGCGCAGGAGGAGACGGATAGGTAAGGTCAGGCGTAAACGGCGTCTCGTAGCTGCAAATATGTGGGTGCGATTGAGCACAATAGCCATAGCGATACAGCAAAGGGCCCATTTGCTCGTGGCATAGCTAAAGACGCTGCCTAGACCCTTTGCCCCTTCCATGGTAAACTTGGGACTGGCAATTCCAGTATCACGGTCGACTAGGGTATCATGCCCCGGCCCTGTCCCAAGCCCATGATGGTGTTCCATCGGAGGGGGTATGTTCATGTCGAGCGCAGCGGTCGTAGCGGCGTCGGTCGTACGAATGATTCCGGGTTCGGTCGCTTCGGGAATGACTCTCTGGCCAAGGCCATCAAGTGTATCGGGACCCGGAATGAATGTTGTCAGCTTTTTGACGATTCTTGGGCCAGCCTGTACCAGATCCTCGAAGGAAGGGGCGAGCTTCGTGATGTTGACGGCTTGTTGAAGATATTGGGCGGTCCACAGCGACAGATCCCGCCAGATCGTGGAGTTGTCCACTGATGCAGAGGCGGGCTGATCCGCCATGTTCAGCTGGACAGCAAAGCAGATTCAAAGTCGGAAGTCAGCAAAGGTAGCGAAGGCAGCGGTGGCGGCCTTGTCGCTCGTAGCGGCTGAGAGCGTCGCGAAACGAATCATGGGCGGTAGGCGAAGGGTTGAAAGGGCATGATGCAGGCAAGAAGAAAGGACGGAACGTGAAAGGGACCGCGAGGGCTTCAGACTGCAGATGCAAGATGGCTTATCGTGGAGTATGCTGATGTGCAAGGTATAGCAGACTGCACTATCAGAAGGCGATAGTCGAAATGGCAGTGATTGCTATCAATCGGATCTCGTTGAAGCAGCTCGAACAATGAGGTAGATCCCGCATCAACGCAGGCTGAGGAGAATCGGCGTCGGAAGCTCGGATAAGTTGTTGGAGGGTGTACTTGGCGCGAGCACAGGCACAGCACAGAGCCGGGCCCGGCTCCTCCAGGTCCTTTACGTTCCCTACCTACCCTAAGCAGGTAAGGTGAGGTACCCTGAGGTACTGAGGTACAGTAACATCATTCATGGGCGGTTAGTAAATACCGACCACGGCGCTAACGCAACTCCACAAAATCTACGGGACTGACCTGATTACCGTAGCACCTTTGAAGACCATATAGACGGCACAGTTCACAGTAGAAATCTACTTGAATTCTATGAAGATGATTCGTACAACAGACCATCAAGACAGAAACGTCATCAAGAAGAAGGATTTTAAGTGCCAAAGTTTCGTAGCCTCGTCTACTGGTATCATATATCCGCTGATAATATCATTACATAACTGGGATGGTGCACGGCACAAGTGACCCACCCGGCTACAGTCCCTAATTCCAGCTTCTTCGATCCACCTACACCAGTGGACTGGCGCTGTAAAGCCACTTCAACAACACTGCAAACCATGGGAGCGTGCGAGCTGCCGCCAACGTCCCCCAAGGTACCATGAGTAGCTCTGAACTTGTGCCAAATCCCTCGCGTGTCTTTGATCGACTGATCCTGACCAGAGTAAATGTCCAACGAAGTAGTTCCTGTGCCTGATGACATGCCTTGCGATCCACTCAAAACCCTTCAGCTTCGTTTGTAAAGCTGGGATAGACATGTACTCCGGTGGAACAGAGTGCCGCCAATAAGCGAACTAGGCAAGATATTACGTTCTCTAGCTGTATCCAGATCAAGACTTGACTAGCCTTGGGGTGGCTGGTGATCCTGAAGCCTCTCTAAAACCGCCCGATAGTTGCCTTTCGACGCCTGAATAGCTCGATCCACCAACTTCATATGAAGGAGAGGATCAGAAGGTGGAAGCTGACCTTTGAGCCACAGATTGGTCATCTCGGCGCGGCTAGGCAGATAGGCAACACAGCAAGCAGCCAAGATTCTTTCGTGATCGAATGAAACAGGATCCATGACGATTGAAGTTGCCGACAGGTCGCCGGCCGCTTCTCCTACAACTGCAGCAATGCCTCCAGTTACCATGTCCACACAGTCAATCCCAGCGTCAGTTAGAGCGGCAGCCGCAACCGTGATGCAGCCACTCAAAACGTTCATCACGTCCCACTGTTCATTACCTTGGGAATAAGAGAGCTCTCGCTCTTGATCCCCCTCGATGATGGTGACAATGACGTCAACGCCACTCTTGGGCCATCTGTCAGCAATAATGGCCCCACGTAGAGCAGTGTCGAGATGGACACTTAGGTCTCTTTCGCTCGAGTCGCGCAGGTATCCACGGCGTTGACGAGTAGCAAACGGTGCGTACTTGACGTGTGTGGAGAGAACCAGGTAGGGTGAGAAGGGTGCGGACCGGGGAAGGGAACGAGGTCCGTGAACGGTGCAAATGAGCTTCATGCCATTGGCATTTGCTATAGGATTGGCCTGAAGCTGAGGGGGCTCGATTTCCATGTAGGCGGATCCAGATGCCGTGGGGGCTACGCCGGTCTTGAGAACTGGTCGTATAGTTAGTATTGTGAGTGACGAGACTACCGCAAAGGATTGAACCAACATAATCCTCGGATTCCGTTTGCTGGCCTTGCTCTGGAACTTGATTTAGAGCTGCAGCCATCGAACAAGGGCGGTAGAGTGGGACCGGGCGGGCCATTAATTCTTCGTCGGTCGGACATGTCGTGATGAATGTGACAGTGTCGACAGTTTCGCGGTTGAAGGCACGGAAATGGCAGGAGCGTATGTCGGAAAGACCGCAGGGCGTATAGCAAGCTAAATAGCCAACTAATCTGAAGTAGTGAACGTAACGCCCAACTGGTTGTTCGAAGTAACTTCGAATCTTTCTGAGAAAGAATTGGGCTCTTAGTTGAATAGTCACTTCACAGTTCGGCTGGTCGCTTGGGAGGCTTGTTATCAAAGTTGCTGGGAGGTGAATTTTCATTCAGCTGAGGTTCTTTTCAATAGAGAGGTAGACTCGTTTAACTGAATTCAACAGGGGCAAGCCGGTCCCACTCACAGCTCTCGGCACAAAAGAGACGATAAGTGGGCTTATGCGCGTATCCAGCTTAGTGGGCTACTACTTCAAGCCCAAAAATTTTTGCACCTCGCTCCAAAATTTGTTCCTTGATTTCACCCATCGCTGAGATATTTTCATCCTCATCAGGCTCAGTCCTGGGCTGCCGGGCCGCATCTCAATGGTAAGTGCTCAATGCCTATTCCTATCACCTATCTATCCCCTGCATATGATGCAACATCTTCCACTAGTTCACGCGATATCCTGAGCGCACGAACAACATGCACTACCATCTGACCTCAACCTGTTCTGGGACCTTTCTTCCAAATCACCTTTGCGGCAACCATTCTTTGGGGCAGGCGCTGACTTGAACACAGAGCATCACCCCGCCGACTCTCATCGTCAGTCCAGCATTTCTGGTAGACAGAATGTCGTGTATTTGGTAAGTTCTAGCTATCTACGCAAATTCCCCTCCTCCACCCCACGTCCGTGATGAACAACCTTTTCATTCAGTTCTGCTACTGAGATCTGTGATGATACCCATTTACCAAAAAAAAATATTTCTGATGGATACCCTGTCTACTGCCTGCTGAGAGTTTTGAAATAATATCGTATGCTAACCCGGCATTGTCTGAAGGCAAAAATTGTGCGACTGAGGCCTCCAAAGCTTCTCAGAAGGCTGCTTTTGACACCTGCTGGAAATTATTTCAATGGTAGGTCTACTCTTTACTCTCGCAACCCTCTTTCCCCATGACCCCCATCTCAGTGACACTCGGGATCTACATGATGACCATAGCTTATCCATTCAACTATTTCAAGTCGGCCGAGCTATACTCTCGCACTGGAGTCTCTCATACGAGGGATAAGGATGGTGGTGGAGTTGATTCCTCCGGAACCGTAATTTAGCTTCAGTGTCCCGGCCTCTCGGTCCTTCGTTCTGAAGCTCTGGGAGGCTGGGGCCGGCCGACTGAATGAGTAAACTGGCTTGTCTGACTCGCCGTTTTTGTCTCCATTTCCACTGCGACCATACATTGGATCCCGGCTAATGGCGCGTTCTAGATATTGGGATCATATCTGGGGCAACTGGTGGCAGGTTGGGTCAAATCATCGGAATGGTTTGGAGGTATGTCCTTGCTTTTGCACTGCCGAGGTGTTTCTTGACTTCGACGCGCTCCGCTTATGCGTCTATGATTGACGATTGTGTGACGCCCGCTATGTGTGGACTCCGTAGTCTTTGACCAGTGCCTAAGTCCATGTATTGCTGGCCGCCCCAAAAGCCAAGATGCCGGCTGAGGTTGAAACCGTACACATGCCCCCTTTTAGGCGGCAGGCTTCACCCAGGTGCTGTGTTCCATGTCGACCATGTGCGAGTGCTGTAACTCGACAACATCGCCAACTTAAGTAGTTGGGCCCTTCTGTTTCAGGGAGAATGCGACCGCCATTGGTCCGTACATGATATCTCGATGTCAGTGAGGGAATCGACGCAACTAAGAGGAGGACAAACGACTGAGACTTTAGCACGTAAGACTATCTCGGTATCGATATCTGCCGGCTAGATGCCCTTCTCCCTTGTTACGAGCGTGCAGCCGTGTGTCTGTCTGTACGTAATAGACGGCCCACAGAGCAGATTACCATGCGAGACAACCTAAGACAGGATCTGGAAGGAAAGGTACACATGCGGACGAGGTTCCAGAGTACGAATACTATCCTCAGTTTGGGAGCGGAAGCGATACTTGAGGGAGCCCCCTGGGAGAGAGATGTGAGCCAATGAAGAGAGGTATTGAGAGCTTACTCAGGTTCCGAGGCAAGACACTGTGCTCGCTGTGCTGTACCCCTACAGTAATCGTGCAGGTGCTCAGGCCACCTAATTCCCAAGCTGAGAATGAGGTGGGGATGGCGCTGCAGGTCACAGAACACCTAGTGGCATAGTATGTCTTAGGTACCTCAAGGTGCCTTACCTCATCTCATGCACAAGCGTTCGCCGTGTTTGAGCACGTCGGCCTCCCTTCCCATGTACCTATCTACCCTACCTCTCGCAACGACGCGAGCTCTCGACGCTTAGCCCACCCCTCGACGACAATCATTCGAAAACATCACGATTACGGCTCGCAACAGCTGAGATATCCTGCCCTGTTCAGTTGCGCGCTGCTCAACCGGTTTTCTTGCATTCGGAACTCATACAAGTGCTCCCCGCCGCGCAATCGTCCCAGCGCAATCAACTTTCGTTCCACGCGAAAGTGCTACGGTTGCCAGATGCCCTCGACTGCTTGAACATCACGACTCCCAACGTCCGGTGGAATTATACCGCAACTGTTCGAAGCTCCATTCCCAGCTAAGGGCTTAGTCCCTCTACCCAGTGCCCTGGATGTTGCCGTCATATGCATCGTCGGGCTCCAAAGTGATGCCTCGCCATCACTCCGGCGGTTTCTCCAATGGATACCCCAGGGGCAACACGTTTGAAATCTCCCCTCACAGGTACGTCGCACAGCTGTCATTGCCCTCAAACACTTCCTCCTGCGCGGTTCATTCCTCAACTGCCACGAAACCTGACGATGCTCCCTCGTAGATACCAGCCCCGAGCGACACCCGCGAACCGCCGTCGACAGCGTCTGCTCACCCGTTTGGCCATTGTTGCCATCTTGGCCATCCTTTTCCTAATTCTCGTATGGCCAGGTGCATCACTGACCTCCATTGTGTCTCTTGGCCTGCTCTCAGCGAGCGACGACCTGCAGCTTGAAACAGTACGATACTACGACCTCAGCAATGTGCAAGGCACCGCCCGCGGCTGGGAGCGTGAGGAGCGCATTCTTCTTTGCGTGCCTCTGAGAGATGCCGAGAACCATTTGCCGATGTTCTTCTCCCATCTACGAAACTTCACGTACCCACATCACTTGATCGATCTCGCCTTCCTCGTATCCGATTCCAAAGACCGAACTCTCGAGGTTCTGTCAAACAACCTAGAGGGGCTCCAGGCCGACGAGGATGTGAAACAGCCATATGGTGAGATTTCTATCATTGAGAAGGACTTCGGGCAAAAGGTCAATCAGGATGTTGAGAGTCGTCACGGCTTCGCTGCTCAGGCAAGCAGACGGAAGTTGATGGCTCAGGCCCGGAACTGGCTTCTTAGTGCAGCCCTGCGGCCTTATCACTCATGGGTGTATTGGAGAGATGTTGACGTCGAAACGGCACCCTTCACCATCCTTGAGGATCTTATGCGCCACAATAAGGATGTCATCGTGCCAAGTAAGTCTTAATGAACCTCGCAGGCCCGTTGCCATGGCTGAACACCGCATAGACGTTTGGCGTCCCCTGCCTGATTGGCTTGGGGGTGAGCAGCCTTACGATCTGAACTCTTGGCAGGAGTCAGAGACAGCGTTGGCCCTCGCTGACACCCTGGACGAGGATGCTGTCATTGTTGAAGGTTATGCCGAGTACGCTACATGGCGACCCCACCTGGCATATCTGCGAGATCCGTACGGGGACCCCGACATGGAGATGGAGATTGACGGGGTGGGGGGCGTCAGCATCCTGGCCAAAGCAAGAGTATTCCGGTCAGGCGTTCACTTTCCAGCTTTCAGTTTCGAGAAGCACGCGGAGACGGAGGGATTTGGCAAGGTAAGATGTTGTGTGCTTAAGCTTGAGTCAACAATTTTTTTAACGTCGATGGCATAGATGGCGAAGCGGATGGACTACTCAGTCGTTGGCCTGCCGCATTACACGATTTGGCATCTTTACGAACCAAGCGTGGATGACATCAAGCATATGGAGGTATGTTGTCATTCGATTCGTTAGGTCGAATAATCAGATCTAACGGTGGTCAGGAAATGGAGCAAGAGAGGTTGGCAAGAGAGAAGGAAGAGGAGGAGAAGGCAGAGAAGGCGAAGAAAGTCAAGGAGCAATTTGGCGACGCGAGCAGCCAGTGGGAGAAGGACAAATCCGATATGCAGCATCTTGCGACGGAAGACAAGAAGAGCAAGCAAGAAACCAAGGAGAGACAGAACGCTGTTGGGGGGGAGGAGAAGAAGGAGAAGAAGAAGGAGAGGGAGAAGGAGGGTGGAGGTTTCGCGAAGGATGCAGAACGCTGAAGTCAGCCGCAAGCAGAGCTAAACACGAATCTACATGGTCGTAGAACGTGCCGAGGTTCAGCCGAAAGACTTTGAGTTCATCATCTGCCTGGCCGGCAGATGCTCTTCACAATTGCATTTTCACTGTGTATACTACATGTACTTCGATTTGGGGTACTATAGGATGTTTTGTAAAGGGACAGTGCCTTAGTTAGAGAGGCGTTGGAAGGTACACAAAGGCACGACTAAATGCAGTCGCCTCATTTACCATTACGAGGTGAAACAGGAGGATCTACGTGTACCACATGTATCGTTTGTTGAGCGGGAAGGTGAGTGTCGAGTGACGATAAGTTGGAATAGTGTGAGGGCAGGCACTTACTTCAAGACTCAAATCGAGGCTATTGTGACCAGCATCCTCTATGTGACTGGCCCTGAGAAAGTTCGGTATGTTGAGGCATTTGTGTTAGTAGTATTCAAGGCATAGTTGCATCTAAGAGCAGAGTGTACGTGCCGAATTGGTCTCAAATACTTCCAAACAGTGCCTGCCTACCTGATTAGCTGAACATACCTATGCCTAAATACCTTAAGGTACATGGGAAGTCTCGAGTCTGCCCCAAGATGGCACAACGCCTAGCAGAGGTGAGATACTACACAGTAGTAGACCTGATAGGACGGTCCACCCGATAAGGTAAGCAAGCACCCTGTTGGATGACCACCAGGTATCTCGGGTACCTAGAGACGTACTGCCAGCTACCACGAGTGCCACCCAGACTTCACACGTTAATCTGGAGCTCCTGCAACCTGGTCAATTGCCGGGGTCCTCTTTTTGGCGACAGCTGTCTTAACCAGACACGCAACAATCAACCTCCGATTTGCAGGCGAGAACCTGAAGGCTCAATGTCCAGTGGTCCTGCGTTCTTGATGGCCCTCGAGCTCTGATCCGATTCAGATAATACGATTGTCACGCGCATGAGCGTATCCGTTCCTTGTTCGATTTCTCGGTTCACTTCTGTCCGAGAAGGGGCAAGCTTGCAGAATATCCAACCTTGTGGGCAAGTATCCGCCGCATTCGCATCCGCGTCCACCACTTCCACGCTCAATCAACCATGCTTCGAGATGGTGACGAACCCGAGCACCCCGAGGCAGCGCCTACCTCAACCGGTCATCTCAGCCTCGACCTGCGCAGGCCTATCGGACCCTCCGTGATGCCTCCCAGAATGCAATATCGAAGTCGGCCTGTCTCGGTCGCCGTAGACCCAGTGTCTCTGGTCATGTCGGAGTGCATATCCATAACGTCGGCACTGCACAAGCATGCGCGCTCACCGCATTCTTCTGTATCCGCCATTCTCGGCGGAAACCCGAACCCGATATACTTAGGCCCCACGAATGCTACACCCAGAGGCCCGAAAGCTACTGGCAGTGTTCTCAACGCAGACAATTTACAGGATGCGGCTTCTGCCAACCGATGGGGTCTACGTGGGAAAAGGGGCCGCAGCATACAGGACAACCCTCTGATGGCTGGCTTTGGGAAGCTTCGACACGAACTGGCCAGCGTTCGAGGTAAGATATTGCCTTGTTCTCCTTTGAGGTATACCATAGACCAGCCTTGCTGACCACTGTCTACGTACCAGACATTCATTCGTTTGACGCGTTATCGCTTCTGAGTCCATTCTTGCAGATCATACAAACCAAAGGCACCGCTGCGCCTGTCACGATACTCACGCTCGGAGCACTCCGCAAGTTCCTCGCCTATGGCTTCATTGGCCCGACCTCCCCGCGATTCGCCCTGGCGATGCAGTCACTATCCGCAGCAGTGACGCGTTGCCAATTTGATGGCAGTGACTCTGGCCAGGTTGAAGTTGTTTTGCTCATGATTCTCCATCTGATGGAAGACATGATGTCAGGGCCTGGGGGTGACATTCTCAGCGACGAAAGCGTATGCGATATGATGGGCAGAGGATTGGCCATCTGTTCACAACCCCGTTTCTCACCCGTGCTACGCCGCACGGCTGAGGCGTCAATGGTTCGCATGTGCCAAATCATCTTCGAGGACGTGAAGCACTTGGAAGTCGAAGCCGGAGACGAGTCTGATGCTCTCGATAAACAGACGAGTGCGGACATGGACAGCGTAAAGATGGACCCTGCTGCAAATTCTGCTGCTGGTTTGCAAGCCCCAGGACCAGAGAATGAAGCTCGCTTGTCGACATCGAGTTCAACGCCAGTAGACCTGAACCAACCATCTCAAGAAAGCTACGATTCTGGAGAATCCAAGCCCAATATCAACACTGGCGCCGAAGCTGGAGGTGATGGCGAAGCAGGAGGTGATGGCGAAGAAAGTTCCGAATCCCTCGACCTGCGACCCTACTCGCTGCCATCAGTTCGGGAGCTCTTCAGAGTCCTAGTCAACTTTCTAGATCCTAACGACCGCCAGCACACAGATACGATGAGGGTAATGGCTTTGCGCATCATACACGTGGCACTTGAGGTATCAGGGCCCTCCATCGCACGACATCCAGCTTTGGCTGGCATTGCGGAAGACAGGCTTTGTTGTTACCTCTTTCAGCTTGTGAGGTCTGATAATATGGCCATTCTTCAAGAATCCCTGATTGTTGCTGGCACTTTGTTAGCCACTTGCCGCGGCGTTCTAAAACTGCAGCAGGAACTGTTCCTCTCATACCTCGTTGCGTGTCTTCACCCATCAGTAGAAATACCACGCGAACCCGGTATTGACCCAACGCTGTATGCCGGAATACCGCAGTCTCCCAAACTGGTCAAACCTCCACCGTCGCAGACCAGCAGCGGACGTTCCACGCCAGTACCAGTGAAGGATAGGCAGAAACTGGGCCTTGAAGGCGGCGCAAGGAAGCCCGACGCGCGACAGGCAATGGTTGAAAGCATTGGTGTCTTGGCACGGATGCCGACGTTCATGGCCGAATTGTTTGTCAACTACGACTGCGACGCCGATCGAGCAGATCTTTGCGAAGACATGATCGGACTACTGGCGAGAAATGCCCTCCCTGACAGCGCTACTTGGTCTACCACAAGCGTTCCGCCGCTATGTTTAGACGCACTTCTCCGATACATACAGTTCCTCGCTGAGCGACTGGATGAGCCGCCAGTAGTGGAAGAGTACCTAGATCCGGCCGAATTACGAGAGCGACGGCGGAAGAAGAAGATTATTATCAAAGGAACGAGCAAATTCAACGAGAATCCGAAGGGAGGTCTGGCTTATCTCGAGGCACAGAGCATCATCCAGAACGTCAAAGATCCTGTCTCGGTTGCCCAGTTCCTCAAAGGCACCTCTCGAGTGTCAAAGAAGGTTCTTGGGGAGTATCTGTCGAAGAAGGGCTGTGAAACCGTCCTCGAGGCATACATGAATCTTTTCGACTTTTCTGAAAAACGAGTTGACGAGGCGCTCAGAGGCCTCCTGGAGACATTCCGACTTCCTGGAGAATCCGCATTGATTGAGAGGATCGTCACTTGTTTCGCCGCCAAATACTGCTCCATGGCAACACCGACTGAAGTTGCCAACGCAGATGCAGTCTTCGTCTTGACGTATGCCATCATCATGCTGAATACGGACCAGCATAACCCCAACCTCAAGGGTCAGAAGCGCATGACAGTAGATGACTTTGCACGGAATTTGAGGGGCGTCAATGACGGGCAAGACTTTGCCCCTAGTTACCTCCAAAGTATATATGACAACATCAGAACGAATGAGATCATTCTCCCTGACGAACACGACAATAAGCACGCTTTCGACTACGCCTGGCGGGAGCTTATTGTGAAGTCTGAGTCGGTGCGGCCATTGGTCCTATGCGATACGAACATCTACGACGCGGACATGTTCGCGGCGACGTGGCGGCCAATCGTCTCAACACTGTCATACGTCTTCATGTCTGCCACGGACGATGCGGTCTTTGCCAGAATTGTTACCGGCTTCGATGAGTGCGCGCGAGTAGCTGCCAAATACAAGAATGCTGATGCTCTCAATCAGATTGTATACTCACTCAGCCACATGACAACGCTGGCCACCGAGATTCCTTTCAATACAAGCTTGAACACCGAGGTTCAAGCTGGTGAGAGCAGTGTCATGGTCAGTGAGCTGGCGGTCAAGCTGGGTAGAGACTTCCGCGCGCAGCTGGCCACGCTGGTACTTTTCCGCGTTGTGACCGGCAATGAGCACTTGATTCGCAGCGGCTGGAAATCTATTACTCGTATCTGGCTCAACCTCTTCGTCAACTCTCTCGTCCCGTCCTTCTTTTTGGAGGGTTCTCTTGACATCAACCCTATTCCGCTGCAGACGCCCTCTCAAGTCATCGATAGAGGTTCAAAAGCCGTGGAGACTGGTTTCTTCTCTGCGTTTACTAGCTACATCTCCAGCTACGCAGCTGACGACCCCCCCGAGCCTTCGGAGGAAGAGCTCGAAAGCACACTATGCACTGTCGACTGCGTCAACCAATGCCGTATGGGCGAAGTCTTTGCCAACATCTCGTAAGTTTGCACTCGGGTTGATGTTAGCCACCGCTGATTAATGGGACACAGAAACCTGCCACCTGATGAATTGGAGCCTCTCGTCAATGCGCTGTTAGATGCTTTGCCAGAGGATCACAGTTCTACGGTGATAGTCGTCAAATCTGATGTGCCGTCCTCGCCTATGAATGGACAGAAGACCGCACAATCTGGGATCGTCTATGACCCAGCAATGGCCTACATCCTGGAATTCAGCACCGTGCTTGCTCTTCGTGACCAAGACACCATCCAACTTGTTGGCAAGCGGGTTATCGACGCATTGCAAGCAGTACTGCGGGATGCTGGACGCTACCACTACATTCTCGTCTCAAGGGCTGCCTTCTACCTTTTGAAGCTATTGCACGTTAGCTACGTAAGTAGTAACAAAGGCTTAGTTCCCATTGTACCCCTGCAACATTTTAGATCTAATTCTGGCTCCTCGCAGACTCATGACTATATTAACGTGCCCGTCCTACTTCACACCATATCGAGTTTTGCGAAGGACGTGCTGGCAAAGACCTCGGTTCTGCTCCTTCAGGGATTGAGAATTTGCATCGACGAGCCAAGCCCACTTCGCAACGAGATCATGACCTCTCCAGACTTCTGGGCCATTATGCGAGCACTGGCTCTGCGACATGACTCGGCGCCACTTGTTTTCGATATACTGGAAATGGGTTGCGGTGGAGCCCCGTCAGCCATCATTGCGGATAACTATGAGTCTGCTATCTTGCTACTCGGAGAGTTCGCCTCGGTGGCCGGCCGTGCTGCTGTAGCTGATGCAAAGCAGCGCAAGACTCGTGAGGGTACACGCGAAAACCCTAGGTGAGTAGCTGCAGGCCGCATCTGAAGCCTCGAGACAGCTAAACATTCTGCAGTCTTGTCGAAGTTGTGTCACGTGGCTCCAAAGCAATCAGCACGATTTACAGTATGACGGCACGCATTCCCTTCTTGATGAAGCAGTCCCATCTTGAAAACAATGAAGGTACGCTGACAGTGATTATCCCTGCTGCAAACAATGTCTGATACGCTGCCCCAGCATGGTCTGCGTACTGGTTGCCCATTTTTCAGGCTCTCACAACGCAATGCACGAATCCATGTCGAGATGTTCGCCTCCAGGCCTTCACTTCACTCCAGCGATCGTTGCTCTCGCCAGATCTCACCTGCAACGACCACAAGGAGTGGATAGCGATATTTGGAGAGGTTCTGTTCCCGTTGATCCACAAGCTCTTGAAGCCAGAGGTCTTCTCTTCCGACCCTGTAGGTATGAGTGAGATGCGAGTTCAGGCCGCTTCTTTGCTGTGCAAAGTCTTTCTCCAATACCTTGTGCTTCTTTCCGAATGGGACGAGATGTTGGATTTGTGGATTAAGATCATCGATATCATGGATCGTTTGATGAACAGTGGGCAGGGTGACAGTCTAGTGAGTAATTCGGATTTTGTGGAACGACCATGCTTGCTGACAACAGTTTCACAGGAGGAGGCAGTCCGCGAGAATCTCAAGAATGTGGTCCTTTTTCTAGCAAGCAGTGGATACTTGGTAGCGCCCAGCCAAGATCCTTTGAAAGAGACCCTTTGGAGTGAGACTTGGAAGCGAATTGACCGCTTTGTGCCAGACCTAAGGGGTGACTTAGCGTTAGAAGAACCAAAAGCTAGTGGAGAACAGGCGGTCATAGTAGAAGCAAGCATATAAGTAAATAGACTTTAATAAGTAGGTTATATAGATAGAGTAATAATACTTAGGTATTCTACTTATAGTTATTTCTATTTATATATAGCATTTCATATACTAATAATACTATTTATAATAATACTTTACTTATTTAAATATTATATATAAAATAAACTAATAAACTTTAGAATATAAAACCTTATATAGAAATACTCTATTTATCTCTAATTATAACTATTATATTGATTATATAATATATATTATTATATAGCTTTACTATATAATTAAGTGTTTATTAGTTTATATTTTAAATTAAAAATATTTTTTAAAATAAAAATTATAGATTATTAAGACTATAACTATAATAATATCTCTTTTCCTTATTATTATCTATATAAATAAATACCTATAAGTAATAAGAATTAGAATATTTGATTATAATATACACATATTTATAACTTTATAATATATTAGTATATATATAATATATTTCTAAATATACTAATTTTTATATTAGTAAATTTTTATAAAAATTAAGCCTTTTTTTATTAAATAGCTAATAAAACTTTAATAAAGCTTTTAGCTACTTATTAAAATTTTTATTTAAAACTTGTCTTATAATAACTCCTGACTTATTTTTTTAGCTAATAGCTTATAAGTTATATAATTTTTTTAGTTATATTACTCTTTATATATATAGTAATATATATTATATATTAAATAATCTTATTACTTTTAATATTACTTTAATAATAAGTTTATAACTTTAACGTAGTTTAATTATTATAAAATTTTGTTAACTTTTTAACCTTTTTTATATCTCTTCATAAGATAATAAGCTAGAAGCTTTAACTAAGAAAGGTTTAGAAGTTATGATAAGAGTTAATCTAATATTTTCATTATAACTTACTTTCTCTATATTTTTAAGAAGTAGAGATTTTACTATTAAGATAAGGGTATTAATTAGTTAAAGTTTTATTAAATGCTTATTAATAACTCTACTTAGTAATCTTTATAATTACTACTTTCTTCAAAACTTTAGTTTTTAAAATATATATATATATATATATATGTATATATAATTATTCTTTAAATAAGCTTTCTTATAGTTTCTCCTATCTAATTAAATCTAATTCTTGATTAAACTTTCTATATTTAAATTACTTTATTAATATATTTATAGCTTTATACTCATAGATATATAGCTTTTTTATACTATTTAATTAATTTATATTATTTATATTATTTTATAAGTTTATAAACTAAGAGTAAAGTTTTTATTTATTATTAAAATTTAAATAAGCTCTTATATTAATTAGCTTATGATTATTCTAATTATTATAATTGTCTCTTTAAATGATAATTATTTATTTAACTATTAATATATATTTAAAGTAGTCAGTAATAATAATAATAACAATTTTTATTATTATATAGTTTTAAAGTTTTCTTTTTTAGTATACTTTTTTAATACTTTTATGCTTTTTTAGTTTTATTCTTTTATTAAATATTTTATTAATAGCTTTATATACTTTTACTTGTTAATCTATTTTTTTTTAATTTTTTTTTTACTTTTTGTTACTTATTTTAGTTAGTTTTTCTAAAAAGGTATTAGTTACTTTTAATATAGTTAAGTTTATAATCTTATTAACTTTTATATCTTTTTATACTAACTTCTTATTAATAGCTTGTTAAGATATTTTATATTATCTAAATAGCTAAAGTTCTCTCTAAGTTTCAATATAATAATAAATTCTTTTTTAGAGATTATTATAGTTTTATTAATAAGAGATATTTTTATATTAACTACTTCTTTTATATAGACTTTAATATATTAAGTATACTACTATATATTGAGAAACAATACTATTATTTATGTAAATAATAGAAAATAAAATTTATTACTATAAATTTTTATTTTACTTTCTCTTACTTTTTATTAAAAACTAACTAGGATTTTTAAGTTTTGAAAAAGCTTTATAATACTACTTAAACTAATTAGAATATAGTTAGTAATATTTATAAATTAAAAGTTAATAATAAACTTATTTTATATAAATATTAACATACCTAGTTTATTTAAAATAAACTGAATAAAATCTAAAAATATATAGCTATCTTCATTAAAAACATTATTTAAAGTATTTATTATATAAGTAATAGTTAGAAGAGACTAAAGAGTTAAGTAAAAGTATATCTTTCTAAGAGAATATTATGCTCTTAATATACTTTATATCTTAAGTATATTAAGCTTATATAGTTGATATAACTTACTCTTTAGTAAGTATTTATTAAAACTCCTTTATAAAGGATATAGTATATTACTAAATACTTTACTATATACTTCTTTAACTATATAAATGACTAATGGAAGTTTTATATATAAGAGTACTTTTTAAAACTAAATAAATATAACAGTAATATAGAATTACTTTAAGTATAATAAGAAATATGTTTTAAAAAAGTTATAGAATACTTCTTTATATAAAGTTATAAAAAGCTTTTTAATTAATGATATATTATTAATATTATATTAATATATAAATTATATTAGTACTAAATAAAATAAATAATAAATACTTTTTTAATATAAATAAAAATAAAATTTTCTATGAATATTTTTATAGAATATTTTTTTATATATCTTAACTTTTATATCTTATAGATATTATTTTACTATTATTTATAAGATTTATTTATTACTTATATAATAATTTATTCTTTTTCTATTTCTTTTATTTTTATTTTTTTTATAAATCTTTTCTTTCTGAAGTTTTTAATCTTTATAATATAATATTATACTTATATAAAGATAAGTTTTAACTATAGAAACTATTTATTATTATAAAGTAATTGAAAATATATTATAAAGCTAAAAATATTTAATAAATGTATTTAAAATAATAAAACTAATAAGTTTATTAATAAAGAGAACTAATTATTAATTAAAATATTATTCTCTTAAAATAAAAACTATAATAAGTATTATTAACTTATTTCTAAAACTATTAGCTAATTAGTTTTATAAATAAAAGATAGATTTAATACTAATAATAAAATTTTTTAATTTAAATATCTTAATTTTTTATAAATTTTCTAATAATAAAAGCTTTTATCCTTAAAGGTATCTTAAGATAACTTTATAAAGTTTAATATTATCTAAAAGTAAACTTAACCTATTTATAAGTTTAAAGTTATATTTTATCTATATGAATAAAACTAATTTATTTATAAAAGTATTTCTATTTCTTATAAAACTACTATTTTTGAACTTATTTCTATTCTTATTTATATTTTTATGAAAACTAATACTACTAATTATATGTATAAATAAGCTACTTTAGTTTTGAATAAAAATAAAAATAAACTTTAAAATAAATACTTCTCTATTTATAAAATAACATTATATTCATCCTTTTTTCTTGAGAATTAAAAAGCTTAATCTTAAGTATTACTTTTATAATTATGATAAAAAGAACCTTTTTAATAAGTAATATATATAAAGCTTTATAAGTAATACTTATTATTTAAAAATCTTTTTTTATTTAACGTGGTTTACCAGTCAGCGACGAATATCAGTCAGCGGCGAATATCAGTCAGCGGCGAGCTTTTTCCCACCCTTGCTATAATATTAAGCATTTCTCACCTACAACACATTGAATTAACTATTCGTTTTCGCCATTTGGATCATTTGATGATTCCACATCTTTGGAATAG